TGTGCTGCAGCTCTTTGCCCAGCTTCTCATGCACTGCTGTGGCTTGGAATTGAGGAGAGTTGCTCTCTTTCTCTATTTCTTCTTTGGGCTTCAAGAGCACCTAAGACAGCCTAGGAGCTGGGAAGGAGGTGTCCTCACCTATCAGCCCCCAGCACCTGCTGAATGGGTGAGATTCGGTCCAGGCAGGTGACATTACAGGAGGAATTGCAAGGCTTTGCTTCATCAAAGGCAGAAGGTTCACGTGTGGGCAGAGCACACAGTCAGGCATTGCTCTTTAAGGGCAAGCACTCTGTTGCTGGGATAACCACTGTGGTGTTACTGATGGCATGCACAGCATGGAAGGTTAGAGATGCAGGTGAGGTTTTTGGTTTGAGTTACCCCTGTGGAATCTTGTACAATTATGTACCCTGAAACAGGCGGGTTTTGATCTCCCATCCAGATTGGCATGACAAAAGTACAAGAGTGGAAAGTGATTCCTCCCTTCTGTTTTTCCATTATAACTGCCTAGAAAGAAGAGAGTTAGAATGAAAAATGACAGAACAGGGGTTGAGAGGAAAAGGATTTCAAATACTTTCTAGCCATAATGAAAGGAAGGTGCTGTTTCTGGGCAGCCTTGCTGAGCTGTTAGACAAACAAGGATGAGCATCAGTAGCAGAAGAGTAGACCTGAGCATTACCTGTGATGGTTGTTAAGTGTGCTTTTGTTATCTACATGTTAAGACTGCTGCCTGTAGAGAGTATCAAGGGAAAGCACTTAAAAATTCATACTCTGTAAAAGAGAGGAAGACTAGAATGTGCTGAAAGGTGTGCCAAAATTACAGGGTTGCAGATCCCCACAGTTTTCTTCCTGATGTTATCTAGTGACCAAGTTCCAGGATTTAAGGGAGTTTTCAGGGAGCTGGTGATAACATCACATACTGCTGAGCTCCAGAAGGATGAAACCTTGTGTGTTGTGTCTGAACGTGGTCATTACTGCTGCCCACATGCAGCTGTAACAGTGTAGCTATAGATGTCATTGTCATGTCAGATGTCCCTGCAGAGTTCCTGTTTCGTATGTAAAGGGTGAGTGTCAGGAGGACAGCCAGGCTTTTTTCAGTGATGACCAGTGACAGGACAAAGGGCAATGGATGCAAACTGGAGCATAGGAGGTTCCACGTAAACATCAGAAAAAACTTCTTTCCTGTGAGAGTGACAGACACTGGAACAGGCTGCCCAGAGAGGCTGTGGAGTCTCCTTCTCTGGAGACATTCAAAACCCACCTGGACACGTTCCTGTGTGATGTACTCTAGGTGACCCTGCTCTGGCAGGGGGCTTGGACTGGATGATCTTTTGAGGTCCCGTCCAACCCCCTAGGATTCTATGATTCTGTGAAAAGCTGCTGATTTTGTCATTTGTGGGGTTTTATACTTGCTGATTTAAATGAAATGCATGTATGACAGAAAAAATCCTTTATTTGGCTGTTTTAACATTAATAACACTTTCTCATCTTCAGCCATCAAAAATACAGAGCTATTCTGAAGAAAGAAAAGCGAAAAAAAAAGCGACAGGCTCTTGCCAAACTAAGGGACTCAGGTAACTGAAGCATTTTGTATTGTCAGTGGAACTAGCAGTGCTTCTTTTTGTTTGTTTTTCAGAAGGCCATAATTTCATGTATCTTTGCTGACAATAACATTCAGTTATTCAGATGCACTGATTTGTGTTTTTTCTCAGAAGCTGCAGAAAAAGATGAATCAGTGTCTGAGGAGGAAGAGGAGGAACTGGAAGAAGAGGAGGAGGAAGAAGAAGAAGAAAAAAAGCTTGAGGCAGAAAGGTGAAAAATCTAGGAAATGACAAATATGCAGTATATAGATTTGTAATCCATTCCATTTTGATACTTTGAGCAGTTTCAATATATTCTGTAAAACAGAATCCTTTTTTTGTATTTCAGACTACACAGTTTTTCTCTAAAGCCTGAATGATTTCTAATGAATTTTCTCTTCTAAAGAAGATTGAATAAGCTGTAGTTACTGCTGAACTAAAAAATAAGAATTGTATGCATGACAATTGCATCAGTTGTGGGTAGTTATTAAATTTTGTCTAAGCGGTATCTCATTTCCTGGGTAGACAAAAACTACATGAACAGTGGTTGCTGAGAGAAGAAAAGGCCCAAGAAGAGTTCAAGCTTAAGAAAGAAAAAGAAGAGGCTGCAAGAAAACGCCAGGAAGAAGAAGAGGTGATGTATAAACTGAGGGTTGCACTTGTGTCTGGCAATGAAGTAGACTTAGTGTAATATCTTTTATTGTTCTATAGTGGACTCAGCTTTCTTGATGTTGGTATTTTAGAAAACATAAGCTCTTCCTTATTCCATTCTAGAAGAGCAAAATTAGAAAAAAAAACAAACAACAAACTTTAAAAGGGATTTTTGTCCAGAGATTTAGTTGCTTGTGACTGGATGTAAACTTAATGGTTAAGGAGTTGTAATACAACATGATAGTTTTGAGTTTGACTGATCATAAAGCATTTGTATCCTTAAATAATTTTTTAAAATATTTTTTTTAACATAAAGAGGAAGATCAAAGAAGAATGGGAAGAGCAGCAAAGAAAAGAAAGAGAAGTGGCACAGCAGAAGCAACAGGAGAAGAAAGAGAGAGAGGTGATTCCTGGCAGTGGGAGGATAAACATGTTATATATCCTCTTACATCATCAGATGCAATCGTGTGTGGATGTTGAAGAGGGATTTTATTCTATTTAGCCAATTATAAATGTGTTAGTTACTTTTTCTCAGCATTCTGTCTAAATTCTGAAACTATGCTTCCCATTTAAGGAGTATCTAGTGAATCCATATACCTAGAAGGGTAACTAACTTGAACACATCTGATTGTTCATAGTGTGTAATTTTTCACATCAGTTAAATATGAAGGCACACTCTGAATGCAGGTTCTGATATGTGCACTTTTTGCATCATGCATTAAATATAATCCTTAGTTAATGTCCCAGTTGAACACAGTCGATGTTGAAGAAAATTCTTAGTGAAGTTATGGAATTTGGAATTACTTCGCTGCTGTTCCTTAACATGGCTCTTAATCAAAAAAATACATTACAGCTCTTCTTTACCTGACTCATCCAACAAGACGTATCTTTTTTTCAGAGCTCCTTAGGTGGAGAAACAATATATACTGACAATATTTGTAATTGATAACATTTCTGTTACCAATACATTCTGAAGTTTTAGAGGTTAAGTGACCTGTATGAAAAGTGTCCTGTACAGAAATCCAACATGAGGACTGGCCTGTCACCACTACAGGGTGATTGCAATCCAGTTTTCTAGAATCCAGTCATTTCCACTTCTCCAGAGTCACAAAAGATTTCAGTCATTTCACCAGGAGGTCTCTTGCTACTGTGTCTGGTAGCCACAGCAGGAGAAGAGACATGAGCCAACAGTGTTGTCTTCTGCCTTTAATGGTTGCTTCGCTAATTGTGTGACACTTGCATGAGGAATGAAAAAGAACAGCAGTTGTACTTCCTGTCTTACTTCCTCATAAGTGTCCATTTCTCTCTTTGTAGAGTGAGGAGAGAAAATGGTGGTTATGTCCTCTGTTGAGGGTTGAGATGTAGCTCCAATAGAGCTGAACTATGGTAACAGTGGGTTTTAGTTCCTTCTTGTGTATGGGTTTTCCCAAGCCCTTAGTGGGCTAATTTGGTTCCTTGAACCAGATGAGAGCCGCTTTCTTTGTTGTTGGTTGTTGGTTTGTGGGTTTTGTTTTGGTTTTTGTTTTTTCTAGGTTACTATTCTACTGTTTTCGTGAGCTGAAGAGGCTCTTAGAGGGCACTGATAGGCACTCAGAGGGAAACTGAGTAGCCAACTGGGAGTGTAGCCACTCATTTCAGCAGCAGAAAGTTTTTCAATTGATTTGGCCTGTCTTTTGAAACAACAGTTTATGCAAATTCCAACTTACTGATTTTAAAAAAGTATATTTTTCCCCTCTGAGATAAGAAAATAGATTTTTTGGCTTGCTGTTTTTTTGGTTTGGTTTGGTTTGGGTTTTGTTTTGTTTTTCAGTTATTTATTTGGAGTTTAAGTGGGGCGATAATATCTGACAGATGATTAGTACCAGATGCTGTCTGAGTCCTCATCTTTGGTTACATTTTTAAATTTTTATTTGCTGTTCCTCTTTTTTATTTTAATTCATTCTCTTCCATATTAGAACAATGCTATCATATTTTTTTCTATTGGTTATGTTTAAATGTCTTTTTTTTTTTTTTTCTTGGAACTTCCTAGAATAATTTGTTAGAACTAATTTCCATCCAGGTTTGGAGAGTGTCTTTATTGTTCTACTCAATCCCCTTAGAAGAAGGAAGGGAAAGAATATCCTCATTGTTTTCCTATATTTGGAAGGGTAGACACAGTGAACTTAAGATATTAAAGTTTGTTAACATTTTTGTATGTTTTGCTTCAACAGAGGCTTACTAAGCAATGTGTGTTACATAGGATGTTCTAAGTTAAAAAGCTTAGTACAACTAAATTATTATTAATTTGACTTTGATCAGACTGAATACTCGAGCAGGAGGTACATTTAAGTGTTCAACAGCTCAATGATAGTTTTTAAAAAAGAAGAAAATTAAACTTTAAAAGTTGTCTATCATTTAGGTTAAGAAAATCACCTACAGGAGGGTCTTGACTGATGTATCCTTTAACAGCTTTGTGCTGTGTGAATTGCTACAGAGCAAAAGTAAAACCTTTGTTTTTTTTTAAAGTAAACCTCATCAAACTTTTATTATGCATAATCACTGAGTATTGTAAATTAGGTTCTTAACTAAAGAAACCAGATGTTTTGTGTGTCCTCAGGGTTTTCACTAGTCCTGTGTTTGCACTATTTATAGGCAGCTGTGCAGAGGATGCTGGATCAAGCTGAAAGCCAGGTATGCTTACAGACTTTTTGAAAAAGAACTGAAATGTAATTTAATTGCCATCCAGCATTTGCCTTCTGGCTTATTGTCCATCTGCTCTCAAGAACTTAATGGCCTGAATAAATTTAATATATAGTGGCTGTAGTGGCTTGCATGAGCTGTAAACAATTATTTGCTGGGTGGAACATAATAAAGCATATTACTGGCACGCTGGTGGCAGTGCAGTTGTGCATGTGTATTCCTGTTCAGGAGATCAGAGTTAAAATGAATCTGGAAATACTGCTGGGTGCTGTTAAAAACCACTATGCACAATGATTTATTTGAGAATTAGAATTCTAAATAAATCTGTCAGTCCTTCTGGGTGGCAAGACAAACTTGTCTTTTTAAGCAAATGGCAGACTCTAAATAAGAGGAGTCTGCAGCAGAGGAGGGCACAAATCCTTAAGAAAAGGGAAAAAAAAAAAAAAAAAAGGTGGCAGAGGGAGAAGCTGACTGCTCTGGTGCTTGGAAGAGCATGGATCTCAAGCTGGCACTATGTAGTGAAGAAAACTGCAGTCATTTGAATCTTAAGGAGGATTAATTCAGTCTTTCCTATTGCCATAAAGAATAAATTGACTTTTTATCTCTGTCATATGGTTAAACTTGTGAAAATTCTTGCTCTGCTGGATGAATCTGAAAAATAAGTTTTAACCTAATCCATTATATGTTGATTGCCATAACTACATTGGCATTACTTTCAGTTCCAAATTGCTTTGAGAGTTTTTTTAGGTAGGAGATCTCATGCTTTTATTTCATCATGTAGGTAAAAAAGTGCTCTGAACTACTACCTGCCGAGATTTTAAAATGTAGTAGTAGCCATTTCTGCAAGGGAATAGTTAGAAATATGGTGTGTTAAGAGACTTCATTATAATATCAGTTCAGGGTTCAGTTACTTACTGTGGACACTGTTGAAATGACAGTGCTGTTTTGTTGAAAGAAAATTGAGGCTGAGAGTCATGAACACAGCTTGTAGCAGAATCAAATGCTGCTTGTAAATAAACAGTTTTCAGTTGATTTCAAATGAGAACTTAGGCCAGTCAGCTTTACAGACCTTTTGGCTAATAAAATGAAAACTCCCTTTTTAAAATGCGTTTTGTTTGTAGTCAGTCAACCCTTGCAACATGGTAATTCCATTTTTAATTATATAAATCTTAATGGCCTGAGATGAGCAATATGGCGGCTTTTCATTCCAGTGCTAGCTATGAATTTAAATATTTATTTTTTTCCTGGCCTTTGGCAGGTTACTTTCTTTTTAGCCTTTTCTAGCTGAATAAAAAAGCAGTAGTCATAACCTTTCTGAGATCTGGGCTGTTGTAAAGACAAACAAGTCAACAGTTGTAGCATTCATCTTCCAGGTCTATAAAGTGCTGCTCAGTGGGTCCTGGAGTGAAGCAGGAAACGGGCATACTTGAATGGAAAAAATCTGTCCCAATATTTGTAATTCTTGTTGATTATAAATGAAATAATTGTTTGAGAAGCATATATTATTGCAGCTCTTTTGGTTACAGAATCTTAAGAAGCTTTTCCCTTAGCAAAAGAAAGCATCCAGATTCACAGGTTTTTGTTGTTAAAAAGAAACCATGACTTGTTCTTAAAACTGAACAGTTGTCAAGAAAAGAGATTTCTATCAACAGAAACCTTAGGCACTGGGCAGCATTATAAAACAACGCTTAAAAGGTTCAGATTGTCTTTTAGTAACACAGCTCATAATTGCGTGTGGATTGAATTGGCAGTTTTATTTTGATACTATATCGCTCTGTTGTTTTCTGACTTCTGTGTATTTTAATGTTTTTTTCACAGCTGGAGAATGGTGTGACCTGGCATAACCCAGAGCCCCCAGAGAATATAGGAACAGAGAAGGACAGAGCAAATTGCCCATTCTATATAAAAACAGGCTCCTGCCGATTTGGAGACAGGTAATCAACTGAGTATTTGCAAGCATAGAAGTTTTTTTGAGAGTTGAAAGGGAAGCAGCTTCATTAGGTCATATGCAAACTGAAGAAAAAAATTACTATATAAATTACTTTACTGTATCTGGATGTGGTTCTGTTTTTCATGACAGAACTGGACATGAAAAGCAAAAGCATTGCCTGGCTGGAATGAAACTATTTATTTTTATGGTATATTATTGATGATGCGTTCTGGTAACATTGGTCAAACTGACTTTTCCTTAGCTCTGACACATGCACAGATCTATTCAGACAGAATATATTTGATTTCTGTTCTTAATGCAAGCCTGATACGTCAGATGTTATTTTATTTTGTCTAATTTCATATGCCACACTTTCTAAAAAAGTAAAATCAAATCTCAAATGGACTAAAGCAAATTAAGGTGCATCTGCACAGTTGGGAAAGCTGTAGGTTAGTTTCCAAAATTCTCCTGCTTGTATGCTCTTTAAATGTGTGATACATTCATTCTTGGCTCTTGCATACTGTTATGGGTGCCCTGCCTTGGAAGGGACATTAGTAAAAGGCAAGAAGATAGAAAGACAAGATGATGATCAGGGATGCAGAGCACCTTCCTTAGGAGTGTCTAACTAGTCTAGACTCTGCTTTCTAAGAGATGATGGACGAGGGCTGTTGTAGGTGAACATTAAACTCATAAATACTATGGAAAGGATTATTTGCTTTTATTATGAAACAGTTTAATTACATGTTCCTAGAGTTTACTAGCTTTAAGAAAAAAAAAAAAATGAACAAACACAGTACATTCTAGTATGAAACAAATTTTGAAACTTGTTACTAGGGGACATAGAGAAAGCCATAGGTATAAATGGGTTCACGGAGTAGAAGGTTCATCAGTGACCATTAAAGATGATGACTGAAACACAGCATGTCCCTGAATTTTTGTGTGTTAAGGAGGAGCAATAACTCAGCAGGGAAAGACTCAGATACTCATTACATGAATCTTCAGCATAAACTAACAAGACTGTTTTATTAATTTGTATCACTGAAACATGTGTGGTCTAGCTATTGTAATTTTCTTTATCCTAGAAGTAATTTGTTTTAATGTGATGTATATTGTGTATAATTATATGATAATTCAGCTCTATGGAAGCGTCAAGTCCACATCTTTTTTTTTTTTTTCTATTCTGAAATAAGTATTAAATTCTTAAATAAACTTTTGGCCAGCTGTTTCACTGTAGGTAGCATTTTTGCTTTTCAAGTGTTTAGTTCTTGGTAAACCTTGCAGTATTTTTGTTTCAGTGGTATTAAATTAATCCTTAGACTAATTATGGATTGCATAAAAATCAGTTTTGCTTTGAACTATGAAAGGCCTTGGCAAATAAATGCTGAGAAACATCATATTCTCCCTTCTTCTCTCATCTATGGTTGTTGATCTCAGCTATCTCTCCTTCATCTTCTATCCCCCTTTTCACATACTGGTTTCCTTCATATTCTGGTCATTTTAATCCCTGCGATTGACCATAAGTTGAAGGACTGAGATGAAGCTAGGATAAGGACTGGAAGCAGGGTTAGAAGCTGAAATGGAGCACAGTGGTGAAAAATTTACAGCCTATATTATCAATAAAATAATTGTTGAATCTTGTTAACGCTGACTATGTCTTGAAGAAACTTAAAACTGGCTAAGTTCACTGTCATGATATTTTGGAGCAATTCTCGATTTTGTGTCATTAATTTTCCTTCGGGTTCCTTTTGTTCCATCATGTGCTATATTAGTTTTGTATACAGACAATATTCGTTGAGTTCTATCATTCAAACAGAACAGTAAAAGGAGACAGCTTGTAAAATGTAGAAAATGAAGAAAAGAAAATCAAGTTAATTGTGTCTGGTTTTCATTTTGGAGTGTTGTTTTATGTTGTTTGTTTTTTGAAGTCAAATGTGTCAACCAGAAAGTCAATTTCTGACTGACTGGATGCAGAAAGAAACTTCCAGTCTGAAGTCTCAGTTGTAATTGCCCATTTTGAGCCCTGATGTCCCTCAAATTTGTCTGTGCTTTGCCAATGTTAGATGAAGAGAGTAGACTAGTCTGACTGTTTTTATGATCATGTAATGAGAAGGAGAAGTATGTTGGAGAGTGCATGACCCAGTTGCTCAGGGAAGTGTTTGAAATGGAGATCATAAAGCACAGTGAAATAAACATGGAGGCTGACATCTGTTCTTACTGAATCTAGAGGTCTGTGAGGGGGAACTGTATTTCAGCATTTGAGGGAGGTAGCCTGAATATGATGGACAGTGAGGGAGATAAAATACTTCTATGGCTGCTAAGAAGACACAAATGAAGATAAGACTGACTTAAAAGAATATTTTATTTTTTTTCAGAAGTGGAAAAATACCAATCTTGTACTCATCCAACTTCAGGTCCAAATGTGCTCTCCTTCTCTCATTCCCTTGCCCCACCTCCCAAATTATGAGAATAACTTCAGTAGAAGTTCTTCAGTTTGCAAAAAGAAGAGCAGGACCTTGCTTTAAAGTGTCTTAAATGATTGTCAGTAGTCTTTCTTTAAAGCCTGTCAGAAGTGGGGAACACATTTAGCCCTGGAAGCCTAAAATACATGACTTGAGCTCTTATTACATTACTGGCATTTATAGCATTCACAGATGTGCTTTTTAAAGCAAGAATGTATTTATGAGTGGCAGAAAGCATTAAGATTACAATCACGCTCACTTCCAAAAGATTTGTTTTACTGATTGAAATATGTTGATCTACTACTAATGGAAGTTTCTTTTGTGATAATTGTTACTCAAAACGGCAAGCGTGTGAAGTTTCAACAAGTGCATCTTCTGCTGAAAGTGCTGATCTTTTCACTTTGCTTTTGTTGCTTCCAATGTCCAGATGTTCCCGCAAGCATAACTACCCAACGTCGAGCAAGACGCTCCTGGTGCGTGGGATGTTCATCACCTTCGGCATGGAGCAGTGCCGGAGGGATGACTACGACACAGACGCCAGTCTGGAGTACAGTGATGAAGAGACCTATCAGCAGTTCCTGGAGTTCTACGAGGATGTGCTCCCTGAATTTCAGAACGTGGGGAAGGTTGTTCAATTCAAGGTATGCATCTGAGCATAATAGCTTTTAAAATATATAGCATATACCACGGAAGTTGTGTTTTACTGGCCTTAACAGGAATTCTGTTCAGCATGCCCTAGCTAAATCCTGGAGAACTATACAGTGTCCTTACAGCAAAGTGTGCATCTCTCCTGTCACCTGTAAACTTGTCACTGCTGTTACAGAGAATTGTCTTATTCTGGGTGAGTCTTTTCTCCCCCTCCCTCAAATTGTTATAGAAGCACATGCTTTTTCTATATTGCAAGTTATTCACACTGCTCAATAGTCCACTTACTTTGCAGTCCCTTCTTTACTTGGCCTGTGAGAAGCCTCAGAGGGTCCACTAAGACTGTTAGGCAATATAAATATATCTGGACTATTGTATTTGAAATGGGGGTGGGTATAAAATGGATTTGGACTATATACCCAAACAATGTCATTTTAGGACTGGTTGGATAAAATAAAATCAAATTCAAATGAATTGAAAAAGTAGTAAATATTTCAGTAGGAGGAATTGTAAAAAGGTAAGTTATATAAATGTTGAGATTTTTCATCCATCCTTAGTTTCTCTGTGTGGTTGCTGAATGCTCTTTCCTGACTTTTTCCCATTTATGTAATTATTTCTTATGGGGCATAAAAGAGAGACCTGTTAATAGAGACCTCAGAGACGAATGGTGTGTATTAACAGTCCCACATTGCCCCAAAATATCCAGCGTGGATGGTGAAATCTTGTAGTAGAACCTAACTGCAGCATCCCTTTTTGCTTGCTATTCCTGAGTGTTTTCCTACAGTCACCAGGAGGCACGTAGTACCTTTTCTTCTTTTGTTTCCATCTACTGACAGCTGCCTCAGAACTGAGATTGTATTAGCATATCAACCAAGAGGAAAGTACAAAAAGTAAATTTTCATTAGTTGTATAATGAGCTTTATAGGTAGGAAAGCTCCACTTGTTTGGAGGAGTAATCCCCTCCATATTTGGATTCATGGGATACTGTCAAGCTGTGCTCCATCCTAGAAGATGGGATGTAGATTCCCAATGGAGCATGGGTTGAAATGCTGCCTCACCATCAAACTCTCATTCTCAACTTTGTATCATAGTTGTTATATGCAACTGTACAAGTTGCAGATACTTTGATCCCTATGACTAATAATGGGTTTAGAGCTTTTTAGTGTGGCAGTTCTCAGCTTCTGAAGGAGTTGCGCAACTGTAATATTCTCACGGGCATTTTCCTTATATTTAATATGAGATGCTCAGAAACTATGTGTTGGCTGCAGGGATCTTAACCGTGACTGAGCTGAGTCTCCACCATGGTTTAGAATCAGATTATACCCACTCCTCTTCCAGCCAACTTGCCTTTTCAGTGTAGCTCAAGATTTTACTCGTGCTCATCTTTCTGGGATGCTACTCCAGGCAGATCCCCACATAACACACTTCTTTTCCCACCCAAAAATGCCCATGGCAAAATAATTCTCTGCGGTTCTTGTGTTGACATTGTTTATCTGAAATAGTTTGACTGCTTATTCTGTAATACTTCATTATACAACTGCTGCTTGCTGTGTCTGAAGCTCTTGCCTAATCCAGTGCACAGAGAGGTATTCTCTGAAGGTCAGCCAGGGTTCAGTGATGAAAGGAGCCACTTGCCTCATTTGGTGTGGGTATCGAAAGAGCCCTGAGGGCAAGAGGCACAGTTCTGCTCTGGAGAACTGGTTTTAGCCTGCTTGGGCCTGCCCATCTCAGAATTTTTTGTATCTAGTGACAGGCTTCTTAGGAAGTTAAACTGCATATGTTTCAGAGCTTTAGAGATTATTTGAATTCTAAATCATTATGAAAAAAACATTTTTCAGAGCATACAGTGAAAGCTAGTGACTTTAGCTTTTCTACCACATCTCATGGGGATGCTGGGCAGGTAAATTGCTCTAAAGATTCTCTTACTGTAATGAATCCCACATTTCCACATGAGGACACTGCTAACTGTTTTCAGAGCAGGATTTGGCTGTTGCACTGTAGGATTGGCCCAGAGAAGTGGAAGACAATTAAGCACAGGCTGTCTTGTGGACTAAGTGAAGGAGAGGTCCCAGAGTTAATCAAAGCATTATGTTGGGAACAGTCAAACATAAGCCAAAAGGGTTTTTGAATATATTATTTAGCTAAAATGAAGTGTTCAAAAGAAAACAAAATATAAGCTCATATTGATGAGCTGTCATAAATGAGAACAGCTGCCATCTCAGCATGCAAGACCTGCTGTATAGCATAAACCTTCTGTTGCACTAACTTAGTGTTATCCTCCCCTTAGGTCAGTTGCAACTATGAGCCTCACCTGCGAGGAAACGTCTACGTCCAGTATCAGTCGTAAGTACCTGCCGTCTTACTAAGTTTTAGAACTGAACTCCAAAGTCCTGTCATGAACACTGTTTTTATAATCCAAGTGATTCACTCTTGTACTGTAATGGGAACCTAAAATTGGTAAGTAGTATCTTAAATGAGGGTATGAGGATAATGCTGTGTGTCCTCCTTACTTTTTAAAGGGAAAAGGACTGTCAGGCAGCTCTTGCTTTATTCAGCGGACGATGGTACGCAGGCCGACAGCTTCATTGTGAATTTTGTCCTGTGACAAGGTGGAAAACTGCAATATGTGGTGAGTCACACAGACACTTGGAAAAGAGAATGTGTGTTATTGAAAGTACTGGTGGAAGTCAAAAAGAGAGAATTAGCCTGTAGCTTTCAGATCTGCCTAATGTTGTAGTTAATTTCTGTTCAGAAGACAAATATGCTAACTTGCATAAGATCTAGGAAGGAAAGGGAATATTGGTACTATGTCATGTAAGTGTCTGAATTGTTCCAGTGGATTTACCTTGCACTGGAAAAGAAAATACGGATTCTAGCTGTGGAAAGAATAATCTTAAGGTGAAACTACAGGAAGTACTAATTCATCTCTGTGAAAAGCAACAGCAGTTTCTGAACCATCAACAGTTCTTAGCAGTAACTATCACATTTGACTTATTTATACATATATACTCAGTCTAAGATAGTAAAATCACTTTGTTTAAGCTAAAACCTTCATAGTTATTAAAAAGTTAATTCCAAAAAAAGTACATACTGAAAATCAATCTTGCGTGAATTAAATCAATAGGTGGTCAGATGCATGTCGTTCTCTTTGAAGAAGCAAAATTCAGTTTAATAAGTTTCTTTCCAGTAGGTACATAATGAAGAAAGAGGTTTAACAGGTCCGGATCATAAAAAAGCAAACCCTAATCTGTTGCAGGCTTATTTGAAAGGCAGAAGTGTCCAAGAGGGAAACACTGCAACTTTCTTCATGTATTCAAAAATCCAAACAATGATTTTTGGGAGTCCAATAGAGACATACGTAATTCTCCCGAACGGACTAGTCAGTTGTCTAAAAACTCTGAAAGGAGAAACAGAACGAGCCATCGTGATGACTATTACAGCCGGTCGAGGAGAAGGGGCAGCCCGAGCCCAGAGAACTCGTACCGGAGAAATGGAGAATCGGAGAGGAAAAAGAATCGCCGCAAAAACAAGAGAAGGCGCCGGTCTGGCAGGTCAAGAAGTCGGGAAAGGAGGAGGTCCCGCAGCAGGGGGAGGAAGAGGAGAGGCCGCAGTCGCAGCAGAAGTCATAGTCGAACGCGCAGTAGGAGCAGAAGCCGGAGCTTCTCTCGATCCAGGAGCAGGGGTAAAAAGAGATCGAGCAGCAGGGGAAAAAATAGCGAAACTCCCAAAACAAAGTGAGAATTCTATTTGGAAGTTGCTAATTGATGAAACATAGAGCTGACAAGTCTTTCCAATAGGGCATCAGATATATTTGAGTTTCAAATAAAGTTCTTGCACATTAAAATGTTTCCTCCTGATAAAGGAACCTAGTTTATTGTGTGCTAAACTTCAGAACATGAAAAGTTTAAGTCCTATATAAGGTGTGAATGTCAAGTACTCTAGCTACTCTGTCCCCCTGGACTGCTGCAACACCTGGATGCATACCAAGTACGAATAGAAAGAGAAGTAAAGCTTATTTGATATATGCTTATTTCTGTGTTATGTGTGTGTTAAGTGTTTGCTGTCCCTTTAAGGAGTTAGTACAGAACAGCCAGTGTGCTGTAAATTCACACCCCAGCATACTGCAAATTGAAGTCTGTGTCGAAGACTGCCAGTTATATTTTCTGTCTGTTTATGGGAAATCTCTTTCTAGACAAAGTAAACATAATCGTGTTCTGAGTTGGGGAATAGGGATCTAAGACATCACTGTTTGATTGTACAATACGTGCCCAGTAGGAGCTTTGTGGTCATAAGTGCTGGATTTTTCTCTCCCTGACTGAGCTGCTGAGCTAATTGCCTGTAGGGATTGCAGTAGACTAAAAGCGAGTAGGAAATTCACAAAAAAAACAATCCATTTATTCAGTACCTTAATCCTTAAGTAAGAGTGGAGACCATGCACTTGTAATCCTCAACTGAGGATAAAAATACTTTGCATACCTTTTGGTTGCATACCATTTGTAGTTGAAAACAACCTGCCTAACCTGTGATGAGTGGTGGAAAAGTGTACATCTGGTATCTGAAGATGCATGTATTAGTTGCGAAGGTTCAAGATGGTTCAGAGTGGCTAAAGAAACTGAAGATTTTACCCCTGAAACAATCCTGCAGGTTTTTTTGGAGAGGAGGACTTGACTTAAACCTTTCTAGGCTTTGTTTTCCAGTTTAAGGCACTCTACTGCCTAGCTTCCCTGTGGTCAAGGAGGAGAGCAGGGAACAAAATCGCAGTTTCGGGACAAAACCTTTTTGAAATGACAGTTATATTAGCCAAGTACCTGCAATTAGATAAATCCTTACAAATAGTTATTCTCTTTTAAATGAAAGATCTGTGCTGTTAGACAGATGTACTTGACACTGCTTCATGTCAGGTATTTAACTTGGGCACTTAGGTGTCTGCAGTTGCCAGGAGAGCAGTTTGTGGTACAGAGGGTGCAAGTGCCCTGAATGGTCTGTAGAGATTCCTCTCCAAAGAACTTTGGCTCCTGCCTTCAGAGTACAGTTCAGACCACCTCAGTTAGCAGCCTAAGTAGACATAAAGTGTTCCCAGGTAGATCCTCATTACAACTCCAACAGTGTAACATGAAGTCCCATAGAAAATCTGGATATCCAAACTTTATGATAGCATTCCTCACAGCGAGAATGTTTTTCCACCCAGGATAGTTAAGAGTGAATGAATGAACATTGTTTCTGGATATAATATATATATTTTTGCTTTTCTAAATGCATACTGCACCTAGCTAGCATGCTGATTATACATTTTCCTTCTTTCATGTGTAACTGTTGTCCAATATGGAGTAATACAACAAAAGTGCTATATATTGATGTTCAGTTCAAACACAACTTTCATTATATATTGTCATAACTGTAGGCAGAATTGTAGCTTAGTTAATTTGGTTAAATGTTTTGGTTATTAACAGATGTAAGAATTGTAATTTAATAGCATAACTTTTGAATAATAGCTCTGTTGGAAAGGCATATCTCCAAGGATAGACAGCACTAAGTTTTAAATTATATTTGAGAAATTTGTGACCACCAGTTTTTCATAATGTATCTTTTTCCAGCTAGACCTTACAGATAGATTTTTTTCCCCCAAGGTTTCTATTTTTTCATCAATGCTCACTTGTCTAGTTGGGTCACTTGTGCAGAACATGGCAAACTGGTTCAGTTCCCTGGAGCAGAATTGAACTGGCATGTCCTACTCGCCAAGGGGCACCACCAACAGGCCAGTGACACCTCCTGTTCCCTGGTGCTGCCTTGTATCCCCCTGTCATGCTGCTGAGCTTGGCCCCTGGTTAAGGCTCTCAGGTGGAAGAGCTGACTTAGGCCATCTGTAGTTCCTTGTACATCCTGTGTCCTGCAGCAGGCTTTGGCTGAGCCTTATCTGGGTGAAATCCATTAACAAGCTCAAACAGAAGTGGTGGAATGGGTGGTGGGAACCTGTGACCAGTCAGGTGAAATAAGCAGAGCAAGCCTCTGTAGGATTAGAAACCAAGTGCCAACTGAGACCCATGTGAGAATTCCACAAGTAATTAGGCTCCTTGTCCCCACGGTTTTGTAATGGGATCTGGGAGGCTGAGCTGCTGTATTTTTTTAAATAAAAGTACTTATATCCTTACAAATAGTTATTCTCTTTTAAATGAAAGATCTGTGCTGTTAGACAGATGTACTTGACACTGCTTCATGTCAGGTATTTAACTTGGGCACTTAGGTGTCTGCAGTTGCCAGGAGAGCAGTTTGTGGTACAGAGGGTGCAAGTGCCCTGAATGGTCTGTAGAGATTCCTCTCCAAAGAACTTTGGCTCCTGCCTTCAGAGTACAGTTCAGACCACCTCAGTTAGCAGCCTAAGTAGACATAAAGTGTTCCCAGGTAGATCCTCATTACAACTCCAACAGTGTAACATGAAGTCCCATAGAAAATCTGGATATCCAAACTTTATGATAGCATTCCTCACAGCGAGAATGTTTTTCCACCCAGGATAGTTAAGAGTGAATGAATGAACATTGTTTCTGGATATAATATATATATTTTTGCTTTTCTAAATGCATACTGCACCTAGCTAGCATGCTGATTATACATTTTCCTTCTTTCATGTGTAACTGTTGTCCAATATGGAGTAATACAACAAAAGTGCTATATATTGATGTTCAGTTCAAACACAACTTTCATTATATATTGTCATAACTGTAGGCAGAATTGTAGCTTAGTTAATTTGGTTAAATGTTTTGGTTATTAACAGATGTAAGAATTGTAATTTAATAGCATAACTTTTGAATAATAGCTCTGTTGGAAAGGCATATCTCCAAGGATAGACAGCACTAAGTTTTAAATTATATTTGAGAAATTTGTGACCACCAGTTTTTCATAATGTATCTTTTTCCAGCTAGACCTTACAGATAGATTTTTTTTCCCCCAAGGTTTCTATTTTTTCATCAATGCTCACTTGTCTAGTTGGGTCACTTGTGCAGAACATGGCAAACTGGTTCAGTTCCCTGGAGCAGAATTGAACTGGCATGTCCTACTCGCCAAGGGGCACCACCAACAGGCCAGTGACACCTCCTGTTCCCTGGTGCTGCCTTGTATCCCCCTGTCATGCTGCTGAGCTTGGCCCCTGGTTAAGGCTCTCAGGTGGAAGAGCTGACTTAGGCCATCTGTAGTTCCTTGTACATCCTGTGTCCTGCAGCAGGCTTTGGCTGAGCCTTATCTGGGTGAAATCCATTAACAAGCTCAAACAGAAGTGGTGGAATGGGTGGTGGGAACCTGTGACCAGTCAGGTGAAATAAGCAGAGCAAGCCTCTGTAGGATTAGAAACCAAGTGCCAACTGAGACCCATGTGAGAATTCCACAAGTAATTAGGCTCCTTGTCCCCACGGTTTTGTAATGGGATCTGGGAGGCTGAGCTGCTGTATTTTTTTAAATAAAAGTACTTATAATTAAAAAAAAAAAAAAAAAAAAGACTTGCTCAGAGATGCATGTACAAAATTAAATATACTTTATTTCTGCTACTGTAATGGCTGAAGCTTTCAGCTTTGTTCCTTGAGGTCTGGACCCAAACTAACTGGCTGTACCTGTGCAGTGTAGGACTGGCAGCTGTAATTTTAATTCACTTTCACATACAGCGTGTTTATTACACAGAAATTGAGTGCTGTAGATCCAACATGTAGTTTGCATTTGTTAGCATGAAACCTGGAATTCAACCAGTTTTCTAACTTCAGAGTTCATATATTTTTCCGTATTGTTTCTCGACTTCATAATCTTAAGTAGTGTTATATGCATGTGTTTCCTTTGTGTTTCCTTATTAGCCGAGTGAGCTATTTATTCTGAAGAGACAAAGAGACTAGGAGTTTTTAAGTGTTAAGCTCAATTATTTTTTTCAAAATGGGGAGAAGCCCTAGACAAACACAGAAAGGATTTAAATTTGCAAGGAATAGCTTGTTCACACTGTGCGATATTCTGCATATTCCACTTAAAAGGACCTTATAAAATAATACTGGCCAAGTTTTGGGGTGGGTTGTTTTGTTTTGTTTTTCATGACTGCTTAAAAGCAGTGGCTTCCAAAACTCTTTCAGTTGTGACTTCTGCAAGGATCAGTGAGGTGCTTTATAGTGATGGTTAAAGCAAGAGCTGCGAGATGCAGTTTAGGGCCTGCCAGGCAGCTTGTTCAGCAGTCAGAATGGAGAGTGAGTGCTGCTCCTACCCTTCTCCCACGGAAAGAGGAACACAGCCAAGCTGGGCAGAAGAGATTGTTTTTCGAAGGGCAATAAAGCCAGCATGTTAGGGACTCCTGCGAACACAGTAGCATTATTGCCCAACACCAAGAAACTGGGCTTGCCCCTGATGGCAACATGCCCTCGAGTTCTGGCTGGTGGTTGCTTCCATGTGTTTTTCTTTCTGCCTGTAGCTAAGCACTATCACAGGGGAGGTGAGAAGGGCCAGCATACCTCCCTGTGCTGAATGCAAGGCTTTCATTTGTTAGGGAGGGCGAACAAGTGCACACAAGAACACCTTCCCTCTCTAGGACGGGTGGTCTGAAAAGCATCCTAAGTAACTTCTCAGCTTTATGTCCCTTGATGATGGGATGTCTTTTTCAGATTCAGTTTTGCATTGCCCCATTCACACAGGATCTCAGAATGGTAGGAGTTGGAAAGAACCTTGAAAGATCATCCAGTCCAACCCCCCTGCCAGAGAAGGATCACCTAGAGTAGCTCAAAGGAATGTGTCCAGGCATATCTCCAGAGGAGACTCCACAACCTCTATGGGTAACCTGTTCCAGTGCTCTGTCAGGAATTGCCCTAAAGTTTACCAATGACATTCCTGTGCACTAAGATACTTTCTTTTTAAAAAAAAAAAAAAAAAAATATGTAAGAGCCTCCTTAAAGATGCTGTTGCTTCCTTGAGGGTAGATTTAGAGTAGATACTAGGAAGAAATTCTTCACTATGAGGGTGGTGAGACACTAGCACAGGTTACCCAGAGAAGCTGTGGCTGCCCCCTTACTGCAAGTGTTCAAGGCCAGGTTGGATGAGGCCTGGAGCATCCTGGTCTAGTGGCAGATGTCCCTGCCCATGGAGGGAGAGTTGGAACTAGATGGTCCTTAAGGTCCCTTCCAGTCCACACCATTCTGTGAGTCTGTGATTTCTGTCCTGCATCAGCACTTCTTACAAAACATGAAAGTCTTATGTTGGTTAACAACTTCAAAGCTTAGTTTACTTTCTTACACGATCTGAGAACAGCTGACATTGCTTTCATTTTAAGTTTGTTGTACTTTAAATAAACCTCTATTATTCCACATATCCTTCTATTCAGCAATGATCTATCAGCTGAATTTTTAAGAAAATAAGTAATATTGGTAAGTTACTTTTCAGTAAACTCTCAGAGCATGATTAGAAAGCCATACAAACATGGCATGGGGTAAGTCAAGAAAGGCAGCCACAGGGTAACCATCCTGGCGTGAACTCAAAAGGAACAGCAGAATTTTAGGAAAGCCTCTTCAAGTTAAAGACTAAGATTCAATAATGAAGTTGAAGACACTCAAGCCAACAATCACTCGCCTCAACAATCCAGCAATTCTAACATGCTTTAGCTCCCTCCTACCTCTTCCCACTAAGAGCAAATTAATCTGAGACATTTTTGGTTGAGACTAAGATTGTGAACAGTGCACTGACTTATTCATGTCCATGTAAGGAACAGCATCTTAAGTCTGTATTACCCTGAACCCTGTCTCAATCAACATGTGGTTTATTTTTCACATGAAGTGGCAGTACCGCATTAATTTAAGATCCACTTTAATAAATTCAGTGTTTAATGTGGTAAGCCTTCCAAAAACTTGCTAATTTATTGCTTTCTGTACAATTTAAATTGATGTAAATAACTAATCCTGGACACAGCATAATCGCACATTTTTTAATAAAGTGCTCAAGAACCGGTTAAGCACTGTAATAAAAATTCCCTTTTTTTTAAGCTAGCACTGAGTAGCCTCTTCTTTCCTCTGCAAAAAAACCAAACACAACACAACTGCATATAAACACACAGCAATGGTGTAAAAATGGACATTTATTACAACTAAACCAATGTGACAGACAGAGATCAAACAGTTTATTTGTCACAATCACAACAAAGCTTATTCCAGCCAAGCACATACAAGTGACAATGTAAACTTTAAAAACATGTTTAATACATACAAAAATTGCTTCGGGTTTGACTTAAGGTAATTTTACCACTTTGATCTCAGACACAGTATCAGTTTGCTACCACTTTAACCTCAACTCTCCCTGCACATTGTGGTCTAGGGACATGCACCCGGTGCTTTTGTGCGCCCTTGGTTAAAAACAAGTCTGTAGCAATCAGGTAAGTTTAAATCCCAGAAAGGGCATATATGAACAAATTCTTACACTGAGGTCACAGGCTCCACCCTGGTACTGCCACAGGAAAGTGCAGATCCACCCCTGCCTTGGCTGGCCTTTCTGCTGCCAAAAGCATATATACTGGGATCTGGATTAGGGGACTTGCAAGTGGCAATGCTGAGCCTGTGCTAGTGAGTTTAATCTAACCTGGGTGGCATCAAGCCCACCACCTGGCTCTCCAGATGGCTGTGTAAATGCCTATGCTAGCAGAGCATAACTGCTTCCAGTGACAACACCAAAGCTAAGCTTTGTGAAAACATGGCACTACTTCCTCAGCTGAACAAGCCAAAGCATTAACTCCCGAAGTGAAGCTAGTGGAGAAGGGAAGAGGGAGGGAAGGGATGGGAACAGCCCTGCCATCTCAGCAGAACTTGGCTACTCCAATGTGTGACACTACCTCCTCAAAACTCAAAAGCACATATGGATCAAACTTCCTGAACTGAAGCAGGTTTAGTTTAGAATTACTGAAAGGCTGCTACAAGTGTCAAAACATTACTTGGTATCACTTCACACGATTTGCAGTAAGTCTAGTATTCAAATCTAGTATTTAAAAGCTCTCACTGCAAATTAAGTGGTTCAACTGTATATTGCACAGGAGCTTCACTGGGTATGTGTAATGTGTAAGTCAAGAAAAGCAGTTAAAATGACATAAAATGACATTGACACAAACTGTGGGGTTTGTTTTTTTAAGGTACCTATACACCAATTAAAGCATAACTATACAACACCAATAAATACAAATTAATTTGTAGAGAAAATAATTTAAAAATCCCTTTTGTAAAGCTCCTTCTTTCCCATCTTCAAAAGTATCCAATTTTCATTGTGCACCTCTCTACACAGTTAGAAAGCCTACCTCCTTTATGTCTATGCTCAGAGCAAGCTAACAGCAGATCTAAAAATAGTTTCCTTATTCAGAATTTTCTTTTTCTACATGCATTCCCTTTTTAGTACAGTAACTTAGTAACTTGCACAGTTTTGCTCAAGGTTGCTACAATTAAATGCACCTTTCTTCCTAGTAAGTTTGATCAGTGTGCAGTTTTTTTGCAAAATGCAGTATCACCTTAACAGTTTTTACCAGTTTGATATGCAGATCCTAACAGGATTCTTTGGTATAATGACAAATTCAGTAGTAAACAGGTATTTCCAATCTTTATGCATTAACTGAAATAAGCTGCATTATCACAAGTGGTGACTAAAATGTAGATGAACAAAGGTCTTTGGTTGCATAAACACAATTTCTACACCACAACATTTCATATTTGGAGTTGTCCATATGGTTTCTTCTCGTTTAGATATGCTATATCATAATGGTACATTTATTTCCTGAAGTCAAAGTTTGCTTATAAAAAAACAGTACACTTACTGAAGTCAAATGCAATCTTCCTCTAAATGCAGTGAAGGGAGACAGGGAGTCAATTTAAATCTAATTCCCTTTTCATTTATGATTGTTGGACTTTAATTTCTTGTTTCCTTTTCAAAGGCGTATTCTTGTAGGCCTGAATGAAGCAGCTTAGCAAAACAGTAATACTGACAAACAGCACCCTACACCATTAGCTAAACATTACAATGAAGGCAGTGAACATTTACAGTATGAAACACTGAGATGTCGTCAGGTGAAGTGAAGATTTATGTCAATCCAATTTCTTCAAGTACACTACGTGGGGTCTCTGCTTCCTATGGAGGGAAAATGTGAGACAGAGGTAAATAGACCCTGTGCTTTTATTGAACAGTGCCATACATGAGTTAGTATGAAAGATGCTTAATTAAAAAAGAAAAGCTGAAAGACATGAAAATATAAAAGTACTGCAGTTTGCAAACATGGTATTAGCTGCACTTTTCAAAGAGCTGTTAATTAGATTGTCACAGTTCACAGGAATAGCTGGTAGATTTTGGAGCCCTTAAGCACTATAAAAATAAAGCAATTCAGATGTACCAGCAGGGAACAAATCACAACCCAGTAATAGAGACAAGAACTGGGGAGAGACAAGGAAGCATCCTGTAATGGAGTCAGTGATTTCTGTGGTGAATGGTTTCATGGATCTAAAAATCTTTTAGGGAAGAAAGAATAAATGGATGAATGAAATGAATGATGCAACTCAGATACAGTATCCCTTAAGCTCTTCATAAAAAGAGCCTAGATATTTTACACCTGTCTCATCCTCAGTTGATAAAGCCAGGTCAAGGTACCTTGATGCACCAGGTGTCAATAAACTGACTCCTACAAAAGTGGAGGAATTGCCAGGATCAGGATCTTACTATTCCACATGAAGCATAAAGTTTTAGGTTAACTCTAATCTTAAAAACCTCTGTTTTGATTCAGAGCAAGTTGTTTAATACAAAATTCCAATGGGTTACTGTCAGTTTTGTACTTGTTCCTATAGCACATGAAAAGACATAGTTTAATCAGAAACATTAGGCTGTCCTTTTCCATAATCATTAATAATATCACAATAAATAAAAAGGGATACTGTGTCCTTATGGAAACAAACTGTTTTAGTATCCAGAATATAAATAAACTTACTTTAGCATCCTAAAACAAGACATATCATGAAGCAGAAAAAAAAGCAGATAATAGTTAAGGCAGCAAACAAATTATTTTTCAACTCCTTTCTTATTTTTTTTTAGAAAACTGTCAGTGAAATACATAATTAAATACTTCAAATATTGCAAGTAACACCAGAATATTGTCTCTATCAAAGTTAACTATGTAGCACAAAAGGATCGAGTTTACAATCCTCATTCAGTTCAGGTATAAGGTGTTTTAGTATTGAAGGAACAAGCTATGGTATTCTAAAGGCAACTTCATCTGAAAGTTTGTCAGTGCTTGGAACAGGCCACGTCTGAGCACTTCCAGATTGTTTCCAAAACCCAGTAGCAAATCAGAAATTGCAAGAAAACAGCAAGTTAAAACTGGGAACAAGTATTAGATATAGTGGTTTTTTCCTCACTGATGTAGTATTTAAATATTCTTGGAACTGCTGTAACCTTGATAAAGCCAGACAGGATGGCAGGATTAAATATCTACATGGGTATTTTAACACAAATTCTTCCAAAATGAGACACAGATCGAAGAAAAGGTTATGTAGAATTTTTAATATAACCTGTCATATTATATACTTAGATTACTTGGTTGCATTCATTTTAGATGACATGCATCTCCCCTATCCACCAATTTAAAAGTGTTTTCCTCAAAAAAAAAATTCCTACATTCTTAACTGCAGCAACAGACCTCAGAGTATTCTAACAGAATATAAATTCTCAAGCATGTAATAGAACAACTTTTCAGTTATAAATTGATTAGACTTATAGTTAGTCAGTAGTGAAACAGGATATTTACTGTATTACCTGAAAAAAGTAGCTCAATAGCTATGACGAAATACAGTGCTGTGCTGCTACTGTCTCTACAGCATTTCAGTATTATTGTCTCCACTGACAATTCAAAGTTGTAGGAAATTTTTACCATATACTTGAATTTCTTCAAGTAAATCAAGGTCATTGGCTAACAATGACTTTAAGCAATGTATTTCAAGGACATTGGCTACTTGACCACAGATACACCTCATCAGTAAAACTTATTTTGATTTTTTAATACTATAGCAGAACAGTAACCTTGAGGCAGACATGCCTTATGTGCATATCAACAATATAAACTCAAAAGGAACACCTATAGGCTAATACATTTTAATAGAGGAATAATTTAATCAATTATGACTTTAAAGAAACAAACAGAATGAATTGTTTTCTTTACATTATTTGTTTTAGGAAGTGTCAAACATTGTATCCAATTGTTATGGAAAACATTCTGCAGTACTATACACTGCCTGCAACTCAGAATCACCCAAGGCAAACAATGCAAATTTAAAATGTCAGAACACAGATGAGGAAAAGAAGTCATTCACATGAGACAGAAGTGCATGCAATACTTTATTTCAAACATGCCAGGAAAGCTAATTCATTACCTAGTCATTTAGAAGCAAGCAGCTGTATACAGATAACAAGAAAAACAGCATCTCATTACAGCTCAATGCACAGCATTTTAAGCCAACAGGCATGAAATAATGCAGGCTAAAGCAGCATTAACCAGACATTCAAACACATTGTTAATGTCTTACAGAAAAAAAAAAAAAGGCAAACTTGGAAATGGAAAACCACTCCTATGATCTTGTTTTCTAACATTTCAGAATGCTGCAAGTCCAATCCACATATTTTATCTAAATCCCCTAAATCTCTCATTTCTATGCCAGTTTAATATTTGAAAGGTAGTGAGTGCATTACCACATATAGTACATAGAATTAGCCGTTTGTCATTAATCTCAGTAACCACCTCCTTGATAATTACATTTAAACAGTTTTTAAAAACACCACTGGTTTTAGGTTACAAATTATTCTCCTCTACTAGGCAGAGGAAGCTTCATGCTCTGCCCACACTTTAATTGAAAGGTACTTATACTCATCCTTGTGGCAGTTCTCTGATACACAAAGTAGTCTGTGCACTTATAACTGGAAATGTCAGTTGAAGTAGACGTATTTCAAGCATGCTGTTAATGGACTTTAAAAAAATCTTTCCAATCCAAGTAATTTGTAAAGCAATGCACCCGTTCTCTCCTTCAGTAGCAGCAATTGTTCAACTACTCAAAAGAGTGCTTTGAACATTGAAATACAAATGTTTTAAGTTCAGATTTACATAAATCTTTCTCTTTGCCCTAATCAATTCTGCTTTCCTCCTCTTTGTCAGGTAAGTCACACTACCATGTCAGTCTTGGAAAAGGATATTGGTATGTGCAACTTCCGTTAAGATGCAAGGTCAGTATAGAATTCCGTGTAACATCATTTAATACTTGTGTGTATATATATATACACACACACACATCACATAGTACTACGCCTTCACTAGTGTTTTTTTTTGCAAATATTAACTTCACCTACAGACTTTAAATGTATGTTTAAATACTACCACAACTTATTTGAAAGATAAACACAGGTCAAGTAATGTTACAGTATAGGTGTTGCAGTATATAGATGTTTAGCTCAGGAAATTCTACAGACGTTTTAAGCATAAGACTTCAAGCTTACACAATAAAAATGTTAAATCATATGCCAACAAGCACAAGTTTTGTTGAAATGAGACATGTGAGGAGACAACACTGTAAAACAGAGGGGGAAGAGGAAAGTACAACAGCAGAGAATGGTTGTGGTACTCTATTAGATTCAAGATGACTGGATTCACCAAGCTGATGATAATGTTCTGTCATGAGTAAGTCACAGGTCTATCTCCTCTGAAATTCTGCATGCATGATGAATGAAGCCATTTAGTACACTGGGACATTAAAGTATTCATGACGTGGCTACAAAAGAAATGCACATATTCTTATACACAATAGAAAGGTGGACAGATATGCAAGAAAACAAAAATATATCGCACTATTCTATCTCTGATATGAAAAGCACATTTGATACAGAATTACAATATTGTATTTTTGACTATTCTAGACCTCCAAGGGGAAAGAGGGAGATCGGGAGGACAGGGAAAGCCATTGTTTTACCCCTCTGTACTTGCATGCTGGGTACAACAACGTACACAGACAACTTCACATCATGATTACTGTATGGTATGTAAGCTCAGAGTTGCTTCTCAGCCAAAAACTGATGCTGAGATATGTTCCAGAAATGGACTGACCTAAGAATTTCCTCCATTCTAGTCCCTGCAGTAGGCACAGGCTATTTATTGGGCACTGTAAGACAGAGAACCCAGGCTAAGTGAACTTTTGGTATCACCTACCATATCTACTCTAAAAAACACACATTACTAACAGGCCTCTAGAACACAGTTGTGAGCAGCATGATGCCAGGATAGTACAGCAGTGGCATTACTTCCACCAAAAAATTATCTAAGAGTGCCTGTTTAAAAAATTGTAGGCATCCAAGACACTTCTCAGAGCAGATGTTTTCTTTGCTTTTGAATTATGCCACTGAATTTAACACGATCTTACATTATTGGCACGAACATTAAGTGTTTGATTTGTTCAAAGAGCAGTTTGGAAGCAAGCAATAATCATTTTTTTGTATTAGAATCAGTGCCTAATGACAGATGACAGAATGGAGGAACAGCAATTTAAGACTATCAACCCCACGTATGCTCATTATACACCTGGGAGGAAAACAAACATAAACCAGCAGAAAACAACTCTCCGTGTATCAGTTACCATCCTTCATGAAGTACCAATTAGCATCTTATATTTTACCATCCCCTCCCCCTAAAATTATAGAAGTCTTACAACAGAACTAAGAAAGTTCCCTTGACTTCTAAACCTAATAATTTGTGCCATCTCAGCTATTCACATTTTCAAGCTTGCATACTTCTAATCTCTAATTACCATAAGGCACAACAAAAATAACCTAGCAGCTTTACAGGATTTATACTGCTTTTCAGTATCAGTAATCTAAACATTATTCCACAGTAGTTAAAAATGACTCTGAACAAGCCAACTACAAATCCAGTAGTTCTCAAAATAACAGCACCTATAGCTCAGTGACAGCTGCAAGTAAGTTTTATGATGTCTGCTACAATTTTTGGTAGAACTCGAAAGAACTGGGTGTATGTTATGGTTTGAGGGAGCACAGGATAATTTTATGGTATCAATTGGAGGACCAAGAGAGAGAGTGTTGTTTAGGAC